TTTCAATTAATTGTAATCACTCTTATATTTTGATTATGATGTTATCTATCAAACATCCAAAAGATAACAATTATTGAAATAAAACCAAACCATGTTAAATTTTTGTTGAAGGCAACAGCCAGTGTACAGGCTTGTAAGTTGAAAAGTACTAAAGTAGTGGTTAGTTAAACTAACATGATAATAATATTAATTTGCTTAACCTTATTATGGATATCATTTATTCATTTTCACATGTTGAGAAGGAAATATGTTAAATCAACATTATATGAAAGTAAAAGAAATAAAAATATAAATGCTTTGTATAGTAAAAAAGAATGTACCTAGAAAGAAAAATGATGATTTAAGCTATGTTAGTTTAGTTACGATGGCTTAGCATGACTGAGTTGAAAATGGTCAAAGAAAAATTAAAACAAGAGGTTCGACCTTGAACATAAGGATTTTTCATTGATTTATCTTCAGCTAGGTAAAAACTCAACTTTAATAACATTTAACCAAGCTAAGCTTAAAATGACCTACTATGTGGCATAGCATAGATTCATTTACAGCCTAATAATTAATGTTCTATTTTCTTTTATTTTGGACCAAGCTTCAAAGTCAAAAAAATATTTAAGGGGTTTGGAAGGATTTTAATTGTATTTATTGTAAGTTGAACATAAATTCTTAGTGCAAATGGGAGGCTTTATTTCGACCAAAGCAAGAATTAAACTAAGACATTTTATTAGCTTTATAGGGTGGGAAAAAAAACTCTTTTAATTCTAAGAATAATTTTGTAAAGTTAATTAATAATTGCTTATATGCTCACTAAGATAACTTAAATTAATCATTTCAAAGTTGTTAAAAATCTTAAATTATTCTTGTTTGCACCAATATTATTCTTGTAGTTACAATTTTGAATTTTTTAAACTTTGTTATAATTGATAATGTTATAAAGTTAACCAATAATTGACCATACGTTCCTTTACATAGCTTAAGTTAATGATTTAAAATTTATTCAAAATCTTAAAATGTTATTGTTTAGATAAATGTTCATGTAGTGAATTTGGAGCTTTTTAGGACTTTTGTACTTGGACAATAATTTAAAGTTAATCAATAATTGCTCATATGCTCATCTAGATAACTTAAGTTAATTATTTAAATATTATTCAAACTTTTAAATTCTTATTATCTACATAAATATTGTTAGACCAATAATTTTGGATTTTTAAATCCTTTTCGTGTTATTGATGAACAATTTTGTAAAGTTAGACCAATAATTGCTCATAAACTCCCTTAGGTAGCTTAAATTAATCATTTAAAAATTTTCCAAGTCATAAAATGTTGTTGTTTGGATAAATGTTCATGTAGTCGATGAATTTTGAAATTTAAGAAATTTGAAATGTATCAATTTAAAATAACAAAATTTGTAATTACATTGTTTGGATAATTACTTTTTAAAAAAAGAATTTTAAATATTGAAACTTGATAAGATAAAAAAAATAGTTATAATAAACAAATAATGATATATATTAGAGATATAAAAAGCAAAATACTAAAAAAATATATATAATATGGATGTCATTAGATTTGTAAAAATGTGTAATTATTACTAACAGTATAAAAAAATTTTTAAAATAAATTTTATAATGAGTTTTTTGGTTAAAATTGAAAAAAAAATTAATAGTTACATAAAAAAGAAATATAATAAATGTTGACTTCTTAATATAAAAAAACAAAAGACTTCATAAATTCCACCTAATGAGTACTCCAAAATTCCTCATCAAATTTTAAAAATTTTCACAATTTTAATTTTAATTTTACCAAAAAAAAGAATTTTATTTTAAAATTTTAAAAATCTATTTACATATAAAATCCTTTCTTAAAATCTCCCATCCAAACCCACTCTAAAACCCCTACTCTTGTTTACTGTTTGAGATAATTGCATATTAATCTTAAAATTTTATTTGAATAATTAATGTTAGGCCCACGTGTAATGTGTTTGCTTTCCCTAAAAAGTCAACTAATTCAAAAAGCGAAACACAATTTGTGCTTTAGAATTAGGGATGGGTTGACTGGAATCTAAGCCTTACATACCCCTTTATCAAAGGATCTTTGAAATGTACTAAGGTACCTAAAGAATTATTATTTTTATATATTAATGGTAAAGTTTATGAATTTTACAACCTAATTTATAAGATTGACGTGTATCTTTTTAAATAATTAGGTTAACTTATAATTTCATAAATATAAAATAATGTAAAAGTAAATAAATATTAGCCTTCATTATCGGATTTTTGTAAAATAAATTACATATTTATATATATGGTGTACTTTAAATTGTCTTAATTTGTAACCAATTGAAAACTTATAGTATAGAAGAAATTTTTTCTTCTCTAATTAATTTAATTTAATTTAGTGATTTAATTTATGAAATAGTAATTTATTTATTGAAAGCAAGAATATTAGTTATTTATAAGTGAATAATTGTAATTAATTTTTTCAAAAAATTATTTGTTAAAATAAGAATGTATATTTATTAAATACAAAACACGTAGGGATTTTCTAAGATAATCTACATGTCAAAAGAATAAAAATTCTACATTAGACTTTTTCCTTTTCTACCAAAGGTTTTTACTTTTATATATTCATGTAAGATTTAGGATATTTTATTGAGAATAAAAGGTAAGTCAATTGAAAATTTTAAAAAATATAAATATAATTAATGCATTTGAAAAAGCTTCACTCAAATGAAAAAAATAGAGTAATCACTGAATAATACAAAACTAAATATAAAGTAATAAAAAAACTTTAAAAAATAATTAATTATATTAAATTTTATGCATCTAATCCACCTGTTTATATAATATCACAAAGAAAAAAAAAAGAATCTAAGCTATTTTTACTCCACGACAAAAGGAATATTAAGATAATGAGAAAAAAAATTAAAATGATACAATTTATTTCTTAAGCATCCCAAAACACACTTACTTATAGGATGAGTCTTGAAAATAATTATGGAATGATATGTAATTTTTGAATGACTAATTAATTAAAATGAGTTTAAGAACCAAATCAAGATAAAAAAATAATATTTTAAATTGAGAGTAATTTAAGCTTGGTAATTATAATAATCAAACATAATATGTATTAACTTGTTTGCGAGAAATGAAAAAGTAAAGATTTTGAAATTAGTGTAATAATGGTAATGAAATTCATTTGATATTATATATATCAAAAATTAATTTTAACTGATTTAATCATAAAATAATATATACATATATATATATATACACACATATACATATTAAACGTGTGTATATATATATATATATAACTTAAATGGTTGAGTAAATAAATAAGTCATAGGCTAAAAAATTGGTAACTAATTTTTTTATACAAATGTAATTTAAGAGTTTAATATTTATAATTAGAAAAGAAGGTCACAAAATTATTCTATAATAATGACAATTAAAATTTTATTATACTTAATATGAATTTAATTGAGGGTGATTTAAGATAAATAATACATAAATGTAAATAACTTATTAAAAGATACATGATAATTTTTTAAAATTATCCACATGTCAATAATATAAGCCATCAACATTAGATAATTTCCTTTTCTATCAATAACTTTGGCTTTTATATATTTATATAAAATTAATTTAGATTTGAGAGAATTTAAGCACATAATATCCTTATTAAGTGAGTTAAGTAGATAGAGGTTAGAGGATTAAGCTTATATTGAGAATTAAAAAAGAAAAAATTATTAAAAATAAAAGAATTTAAAATTCATTTATTTTAAATTATAATATTTGATAAAATATATTAAAATTTTAAATTATATTTAAAAAATAAAAAACAAAAAACTTATTAAAAATAGAAAATTTTAAAATTTATTCATTGAAATTACAATATATAATAAAATCTATTAAAATCTAGATTATATTTTTATAAAAAAAATTAAAAAAATTATTTTATTTTATTTTAATTATAATTATTTGAAAAAAAATATTTTTTAATGTCCTTTTTTTTTCTTATTTCATTCTTTTTCTATTTCTTCTTGTTCCTCTCTTTTCCTAGCCAGTTTAGGCCTACTTGTGACGGTTGGAGCCAGATCAACCCCTGTTGCTAACTTGGTACAGGTACTTTAGTTAGGGAAAGAGGTTGGGCTTCACAAGCGACGTGAAGTCTGAAATCTGTTCTCCCTTGTCGAATAAGTGGCCACGAGGGCCGGTTCGGCTTCAGCCATCATTACGACACCAATTGGGCCAAAGCCTACTATCCGCCATCACCAATGCAATGTGCCTCTTGTCAGTGGGGTCTTGAATGGGAAAGGAAGGGTAGAAAAAGAAAAGAATTAAAAAGAAAAATATGGATAAATAAAAATTTTAAAAAATCAAAGTAATAAAGTTTTGTAGACATAGTTGACATGCGGTAGACACGTGTCGTCAACAAATATTTAAAAGTGGAGTTAATAGAAATATAGACAGAATGACCATTTGGTAACAACATTGGAAAAATAAAAATTAATATCTAATTTTTAAAAGTATATAGATCAAAATAATATGCGATTCAATAATGCTTAAGGATCATAGCGTTATTTACTCATCCGTCTATCAAACTCGTTAGAAAACAAAGCTCAAATTCAACGATTGAAAGTTCCACGACCATACCCAAAAGAGTTAATACTCCAATTGGTAAGGAAAAAGCTGTTTTTTGTTGTTAACCAAGGTTTAATCCTTGTGAAAAACATTATGAGATTGAAATATGTGAAAAACATTATGAGATTGAAATATGTGAAAAATATTGTCCAATAATAAGATAAGGTCAAGTAAAGTTTGAGAATATCTTGTTTGTATTATAAAAAAAAAATGCATGAAATTGAAAGTGATGATCCTAACCAAATTTTGGGATGTTGTAAGTACTTGAAATTTTATACGAATCTAACATTGGTTATCTTAAAAAGAAAAAAAAAATGAAAAAATAAGCACAATCAACATTTGCAATTTTTTTTGAACTTTTCAAGGGTCAAAACCAAGCACTAATGGGGCAATCCGTAACAAGGGTTCCAAGGTGATTGGTGAAAACTTTCTAGCAAATAGGAAGCACATTGAAGTTGTATTGCCATTGTAAATACATTCGGATCCATATCGAATTTGATTCAAAAGCTCATCTGTGATATCAGGCCATCCGAATTTCCTTGGATGAGGGCCTCCTCTCGACCAATCCACCCAAGTAATGCTCCTATTTGAGTTTAACTCCCCATAGAACATGTTTACTAATGTAGGGATGTAATGTTCATCGTTGTAGCAAGGTGGCTGACAGTATTGTTTGAAAACTGAATAATACTTTTTATCAGAAACAATGTGTAGGGCAATGTCACGGTGCAATTCGAACCATTGAGACCCTTTTCGCCAATGGGTGATGTTAATTACAGGCCACATTTGGGGTTTGTATCGCCCGCGACCAGCTTTTCTGGGGTCATCAAATACGCTCAAGAAGCTTAACTTTGAGTTGATGAGGTAGTCATAGGTTTTTTTGAAGTTAAACAATGGAATGCATGAGTCTGATAGAAGAACAAATCTTTGATTTGAGACGTCAAGAAGTGCATTTGCCAGGAGACGCTTCTCTGCATCTATCATCGTTGCAGTCCCCCAATAGACTGCCTTAGCACCCCAAAAAAAAAAAAAAGGAAAATAATCGAATTAATAACAATTTGAAATTAAAAAAAAAAAAAAAGAAAGGCTGATTTTCGTTATAAAATTTTTTATCATATAAATCTATGTTTTGTTGATTCCAAAAGTAAAACCTGGCTGGGGATTCTTCTACCATAGAAGACTGAAGTCTGAGGAACTGTTTCATTGTAGTCAGGATGTGAGTGAACGTAGATTGTATAAAGGCCTTCGTTACCCTCAAAAAACTTCTCCCACAATGGAGCCAAGGGAAGTGGCCCTGCTGTCAAGAACATGAAAGCCACCTTAGGGGACTGCTGATGAGGAAACTCTTGAATTCTTGCAACCATGGATGCTCTCAGTAACAACTTCTCGTCACTCATGTTGTGCATCAGAGGTTTATTATGTTCTTCCAATAAAACACTGCTAGAGTTGGATGTTCCATTTGTTGGAAATGATGGGACTAGCTCTATTGGCGAATTCAACAAAGAAGGTGGCGGCCGCGGCGTTGATAATGGTGGTGGTGTTGATGGTAGCGGAGAAGTGGAACCTGGTGGTATTGATGGAGAAGTAGAGATCAAGGAGGCTTGAAAATTTTGTGGGAAAATTTTAAGCTGTAAACTAATTACAATACCGAGTGACAAACCAATGACAAGGGATAAAGCATGAAAGATGAGATTATGCATCATTTGGATAGTAGATGGCTTGGAAAATGGTTGAACAATATGTTTCTCAATATTGGCCATTAAAGTTATGCAAAGAAGTGGGTGAGAATGAGGGAAAATTCATAATCTCTTTGGTCATTAGGGAATTTAAAGTTTAATTTGGCTAGAAAAGCTTTGAAGGGGACAATTAGAACTTAAGATAAGGCTTTTTGCATGTTTTTCACTTCTTTCAGTTGGCTCTAACCGCGCAGAGTTCTTCGGTTTGTTAATAATTAAATGCGATATAGCTTGATGCTTCTTTGAATAGCAAAGCTAATTCAACAAAAATACTTATTTTGTTCTCTTAGACAAGGAACATAGTATTCAAAAATCTGTGCCACGTTGGTGGTTTTCTCTTTTGTTAGAAGTCAAGAGCTTTTTTTTTAACATAGTTTAGGGTGATAAAAAACTTTCTTATTCAATGTCAGACCACAAGTATCATGGAAAAAATAATAAATCAGAAAATTGTATATATCTTTATCATGTTTATTTTGTATCAAATACGTATGAAATTGAGTGACGATTATCTCATAACTTGAATTTATAGAAAAGAGTTCATTATTATATATAATTAAACCCTAAAATATTAATATTTATTGGTCTCTAGTGTTTTATACACTAGTAGAATTGGCACCAGCTAGTTGAACTCTTGAAAATTTATCTGGTGCAGTAGTTTAGGTATAGAACTTTTTTTAATTATTATTATTATTATTATTTGTAGTTTAGATATGGAAATAGAACCTAACAGATGAAATAACTTATTCTATATGCATCCAACACTGAATTTCAGACCACAAATGCACTTATTATATACCAAACTGTTTTGTTTTTGTATTAAAAAACAAACAATAGAATACAATATATAATGGTATGCACAACCGCTCAAAAGACAAGAGAAATAGGCCACTGGAATCACTGCTGAGATTTTGGTAAGTAACCACCATTGCACTCTTCCTTCATCTTTCTTCCTTTTGTTTTGTTAATTCTAGTCAAAACCCAGGATCAAAATCTTGAGAAATTTTTTACCTTTGAAAAACGAAATCTAATTTGTTTTAGGCATGTGCTTAGGCTTGGGTTTATCTATTTATTACTCATCCTAACAACATTGGCCATTATTTCTTGATTCATTTTTAATGGCTATTGTTCCTAAAAAGACACTTCAATAGTTAACTATAAAATCTTGAAGTCTCACGTTATTAATTTGTATTCTAAGATTAAAAGGGGTGGAATTGTTAAAGAAGATAAGGTTGTTTTTCACCATATAATCCTATTGTTCACAAAGAATTCTTCTAAAAATTCCAAACTTAATTTTTTCGTAAAATCATTTACAATATTTTTGTATTTACAAGCCAAAGTTTTAATATAAGAAAGTTGAAGTATATATTTTATTCGATATAAACTTTTATTTTAAAATTTACTATGATAATAAGAAATATAAATAAATCCATTAATTATATGAGAATAGGAGAAATTGACTTACACTAGAGCACATTTAAGTTATACATAATATATGTGTTTGTGAGATATATATTAAATATGTTAATTTTTACTATTTATGGCATAAAAATGAAGAGGCATTTTATATATATATATATATATATAAAATTGTTGACAATGATAAAGTAATTTTCAATAATAATACAAATTTGGTCACCATGTAAATACTAACAACATCTTGTTTTTGGTGTATTATATATTGGCTCTTCAAACTTGCTCATTGAACCAAATTTGCCTTCATCAACAAGCAAAAAACATATGGTAACCCCCAAAAACCTTAATAGCTGCAAAAGTGTTTGAACTTGAAAAAGTCAACCTTTTCTAACATAAGAAACGGTGATGGAGTGCAATTGCTTAGGCTCCAATGTATTGCAGCTGGACAGCTTGCTAGAGTCTAAATATATAAATTAAAGAGGAATTTTAGTTAGCTAATGCGAAGACTCAAATTTCATTTAGTTTAAGAAGATTGATTTTTTTTTTTCAATGAGTAAGATTTAATCTCTAATAATTTCAAATATATATAACTTCTATGTTAGATGCATGAAAGTTTCCCAAATTGGAAAGTTCTCTCAAATGAGAAAGTTTTGCAGTATGACAATCAAGAATATGGTCATTTGATCAGTACTTGGCTGTTATTTTATAAGAATTGAAAGAAGACTAAGATCTTGGTAAATTGAAAATATTGTAAAGTTTATTTTATGACCCGGTAAGGAATATTAGCCCTTCGAATTAAAAAGGTTCTTTCAGTTTGCCAAAGTAGGGTCAAAATTCATATTTATACTAAATTACATCATTGACTATTTAATTATGGTGATGTTTTTAAAATAATTATTAAATTATTAATTTAATCATTAAATTTTGAGTTATTATGTTCTAATCACCCAACTGTTAATCCTTAACAATTTGTTACCGATGAGTAAATATTCATTGCCAAGGAAAGATTTAGATGAAATTCATAAAATTTCTTACTAAAAACGATTCAATAAAAGCTAACATCAAAAATTAAAACCAATAAATCGAAAGGTCTTGCTTGATCTAGAGTCTAAATTTTAAAAAAAAATTAATAAAATTTGATATATTTTTTAGAGAGGTATTTTTAGTAAAAGTTTTGACAGAATTTTTACCATTGAATAAATACTCATTAAATTTGAATTATAAATGATATTTTAATAATTTTTTTACATATTATTGATCTTCTCATTGAATTCTATCAATCCATTGATTTTGATTTTCGATTTTAGTTTTTATTAAATTGTTTTTAGTGAGGAAGATCACAAACTTCACCTAAAAAACTTCATATAAATTTTTTCCTTTTTCTCCATGAGTCATGATCCAAGATCCATCGCCATAAGCCATTCTAGCCCTTTAAAGCACCTTGTGAGGGTACCCATATCTTTTTCTCACACTTTCATTTTCTCTCATACTCAAAATCTTATGCATCTCAATTGTGGAAGTATAAATAGTTTGTGAAGTTTCGGGTTTCAACAAAAAGAGTAAGCAAAAACAAAGAAAAAGAAGATAAACCAAGGCTTAATTGATTGATAAGTTTGCATGTCACAATCAATCCAATAATGGGTTGATTTGTAACTCTTAAAAGAGAAAGAAAGAAAAGTGATAAGAATCTGGGTAATTCACCACAAAACAAAAGTACTGCTTTGATAAAATTTGAAGCAAAATGCAAGAATGCAATTCTGGTTATAATGATGTGTGGCTATTACATTATTAAGGTAAATTTATGATGCCTACTATAATAACCTTAGAACCTAAGTTATACTCTTGATTAAGCAAATAAAAAAATCTAGGATAGAGAAAAATCTAAGATAATCCTAATTGATAAGATCTTTACCAAATTTAGTTAAAGATAAAATTTGTAAAACTAAAATAAGAAAAATAGCGTACTAAAGCCAAAATAAGAAAGATTACAAGTAATTAACCTAATAATCATCCAAGATTAACCACAAATCTTCAAACTTTCATGCAACAACCAATATGTGAGGCTCATTACATGCAAAGCACGTAATAAGGTCCAATACACGCATGACCCACTATGTGAGGCTTAATACATGCATGACCCAATATATAAGGCCCAAATTCACACAATAAGCCCAAATAGTATGAAGCAGTCCAAATGTATTCAAATACCTTCATAAGTGATCAAGTTGAACATCTTAGGCTCCTCATCATGCAATAACTCTACATGAGTCGAAATTTGTTCAAGTAAAAGATTGACTACCGAATGGAACTTTTAGCTCTATAATGAGTAATAAGACTAATAATCAGTGCAATTGAGTGTTGGTACATGACTTCATCATCATTAACTAAATCAGCCTCCACTAGATCATCATGATGAATCTTATCAAAATCCTCTTTCATGAAATGGAGCTTCTATTTGCACTTCCAAAAATGTTCTCCGCACCTCTATTTTTTATTACAAAAATATCTCTAAATTAAAGTATTTAATTAACTTTTGTTAAATTATCCTTCAGCCTTTCTTTTTTTTTTTCTTTAAGTTTTTGGATTTACATTTTTGAAAGCTTTATTTGTATTTCTTAAAAACTTTTAAATTTGCAATTCAAAAGCTTTTTCAAGCTTCTAGATTTGCATTTTCAGAAACTTCTACAAGCTTTCAAAAATGCATATCCAAAAGCTTTTAAAGCTTTCGAATTTGTATTTCCAAAATTTAGTATTTCACTTACAATATTTCATTCTAGATTTCAATTTATTCAATATTTAACCAAAATTTAATAAAATAAAAAACAACTTCTTCTAAATTAAAGTTTGGTGACTTGATTAATTTCAAAACTTGTGATTTTAGAGTGATTTTTTTATATTAGGGTTTGAGGAGTTTGAATTGAAAATGGATAGGGAATTGGGAAATAAGTGTGAATAGTGTTGAGGGAAAATAAAAAAATGTGATTAGGGGGTGTAATGAGTAAAAAAATTAATTTTTAAAATTTGAATATGAAGTGTAAATAGTAATTGAATGTGGAAAGTAATTTTGGATATAAATAAAAATTCCCTTCAAAAAATTTTCAATGTTAAAAATATCTAAAAATGTAAACCAACATATCAAAACTCAAAAATGTCCATGAGAATTTAAAAAATTTCTACCATGTTTATATTTCTAATCACGTGTAATTGTCTCTTTTAGTCACATGATCCTCTCCTTTAATGCATTTTAGGTTTATTTTATTTGAGTTTTAAGACATTTAAAATTTTTTTGATTTTATCATATTTCATATTAAAATTTTATTAATATTTATAATTTTTAATGTAAAAAATTATGGTAATTTTATATAATTGTTCACTCAAGTCTAATCTTGTTTTTAAGATGATGTAACTAAACTATTAAAAATTTTAATTTATTCACTAAAATTTAAATAAATATTTTTTATCACTCAACCGTTAATTTTTAATAATATATTGATGTGTCAATATCACACTAGCTGTAAGGTGTTATATGATATTATTAATAAAATTTATTTTTTAAAAAATTTATAATATTATATCAATAATGTTATGAAATTTTCGAATTGAGGTTACAATATTAAGTGACACTTAATAGTTGACACATCATTATGACATTAATAAAGATTAATGACTTGATGATATTAGTTAAATTTTAGTGATTAAATTAAAAAAATTTAAAATGAAATAAGCATTTTGGAAATATGACTATAGTTGAGGGAACATGTATTTTACCGAAAAATTGCTATGTAAAAGAATAATCCATTATTTTGTCACTAATGGAAAACAAAGACGGACAAAAGAAAATATGATTTCTGGGGGAGTAGTGGAGTACTATTTGTTCTTTTAGCAATTTTGTTTCCATCGAAAAGCCTCGCGGTTTCAATCTTTCGGCACTTTAGACGCACCGTTTGACAGCCGAAAGAGAGAGAGGACGTTAGCAGAAGGCAGGAGGGAGGAATGGGAAAGCAAAAAGAGGAAGAAGAGGAAGATAATAGAAGAGAGGCATCAATTGCTTCAACCCTTTGTTTGCAACCCAATTTCAAGCCTGTTGGTGTCACTCGTCAACAGCTTTCCAAATTCCAGGTACCATCTTCACCACCCTTTTTTCTCCAAAGCTTATTTTCATGCTTAATACGGATGTTCACATGAATCTATAGGATTAGGAACCCTTTTATCATCTTTAGCAGATACCTCTTTTATGTAATTGAGATGATGGGTGGTGAAATCTTGGGTTTTGTTTATGATTTTTGTTTTTTGGCCAGACGGTTTTTTTTTTTTTTTTATGATTGAAGAACTTTTTTGGTACAAAAGAGCTAGTTGGTATACGAGAAGGGGTTCCAGGTGTTAGGATTTGAAATCCAAAATTGCTGAATGTTATTAAGATTGATGCATAAACCAACTGAGCTAAACTCCAAATTCAATTGAAGAACTTTAAAATTGACAAGTTTTTCAACTAGTTAACTAGGTATGTTTGATTAGGAGCTGAAATGGGCAACGTTAGAAGTTTTGTAGTGCTAAATTCGAATGGATTGGCATTTCTAAAAACTTCGAAGATCTAGATTTGTTGACCCTTATCATGTTGGAGAACTTGCTAATGGTGGTGGTTTTAATTCCATTTTGGCTTGCGAAGTTTGGGATATATTTGCATCCTTTTAGATAGTTGAGTTTCTTTCCGGTAAGAATCATCTTGCAGTTACATTTATGAAAGACTGAAACCTTTTGTTGCTTCTTGTTTCATCCTTATCCATACCCTTCTTTATTTTTTGGACATCGTGGCACTGTTTTTCTTGTATCTTAAAGAGAATCTTTAGTCTAATTTGCTGACTTGAATCATACACTACTCGCACCTCATATGCAAGCAGGAGATTGATGTCGTAACAATATGGTTTCTCATGTACACTATATTTTATTTGTGCATTAGATGTTTCATTCAGTTTATTAAACTATAGTATCTATTGGGCATGTGACAAGCCACGTCTCTTAAACTCCATGGAACCAAGTATGGGTGCTTTTTTGCATGGGAGTGGTTCAGTTTTTTGCGTTTGTCTATCCCTCAATTCAATACTTTGAACTTGAAGATTTTCATTAACATTCCAAGACAATTGCACTGCAGGCATCCAAACGAACACACTTGAGCCTTTCTTCATGTACTTAATAATCTACAATTGTTGTTGATGAAATTGCTGAAGATATTGGTCAATAGTTGCAGGGTCACATGTATGGTGTTGGATGTTTTCTTTCTCGTTGATATATGAAAACTACAATTTAATTGGTCTATTCTGGTGACTGGTGTTGATGCTATGAGGTGGAGGCAAACTCTGCTCTATTATTTGGGTCTAGCCTCTTAATTCCATTATGGAATTGGCTCTTTGATGTTAGGCACTCTGGATGGTACAAACCAACCTAACACTTAACAGCAGGAGGCACAACAGCCAGGGGTTAAAACCTCATAAGTATCTCAAGTCTTAACCTCTCATTTTTTTGCGGTCATGTGACATTGTTTGCTGTTAGGCATCTTTCTATGCAGGAGTCCAAAACTCTGTCTCATTTAGATTTTAGTTTTTAAATGTGCCATTTATTAATACTCTGATATTCTTCTGTTATTTCTTTTCCCCTGGATAATGTACTTCTGTCTGAATGTTGTATGTAATAGGAGCTGCATAGAAGGCGTTTACAAATAAAAGCAAAATCAAAGATCCATAAGAAACCAAAAGGTACCAATTGTGGTTTATATAATCATTGGTAACATTTTTATAGTGGGATGTTTGGTCTCATCCGTCCACAATATTTTGTTCTAATTGTAGATCGAAGCAAAAAATTTCATGCTGAAGACTGCAATAGCACAGATTCTCCAGAAGCAGACTCAAATACCAGAGTTGAAGATTCAATTGTTTCCAACCTGAAGAACCTTATTGAAGATGATAATGCCTTTACACAGCCAGATAATGTAGTTGGGCAGCTTGCAACTAAAAAGCGGCAGAAATTGCATTGGGGGTAAGTTTCACCTTAGCTTCTTCGAATACATAATTGGTTTGGTACATTAGGGTTAATGTCACCAATAGCTCGTGAATTATAGCGAAATGTTTAATTTGATACTTAATCTTTAAAAATCTCCAATATAATACCTGAACTTTGAATTTGTTACTTGATGTGATACTCTATCTTAATGTGGTTAGCTTCAAACGATGACATGTAATTGGCAAATAGCCTTCTAAGTACCATATTAATTAACAACTTCATAATTCATGTATCATAGTAGACATTTTAAAAATTCAAATATCATATTGAACATTTCACTATACTTAAAAGGGTATTGGTGACATTACCCCAATTCATTAATAAGAAAGCATTGCTGCTCTATCTGATATGATTACATGTCATAACAATTTTGCTTTGGGTTATTCAAAAGTTGATGGTAGTTTTGCATAGCGGATTGCTGCTCCATCTGAAATCCCTTTTTCTAATCCTTTAATAATTTCCTCTATTATTTGTTGGCAGACTTGATACAAAGGAAAGGTGGGAAAGGAAAGCCAACATGTAGATATTTCAGAAGAAAATACAGCTTCGCCAAGTGAATGCTTAAATGAAAGTCCACGAGGTTATAAATTTAAAGAAATTATATTTGGGAAATGTCCACCATAAATGCTACAATTTCTGGGTATCTCATGTATGCTCCAGATAAGTTCAGGGGACGCTACAATGGAAAATTGAGGAATGGAACCAGCAACCCTTTGTCATAATGATTTGCGATCTTTTATTGTTTCTTTTTTGTGTTCTGCAATAGTACTAGATTTTACTTGGCGACTTGTGATATTGCTCTTGATAATTTTAAATTCAATATAATGATACGTTATCAAAATAATATGAAAGAAAAATTTAAAACAAAACATTGGTACTAAACCAATTAAAAAAAAAACAAAATGATTTAAAATATTAACAAATATTAGATATAAATTTAAGAAAAATAAAAAATATGTTTCATATATGATATATTAACATGATTTGATGTAATTTTTATATTTTATATGTGTCAAATATGATATAAATATGCAAATTATTAAGCCTATCCACCTTTATTACTTGGGAGGACAAAAGGTTATTTGGGGGAAAAAGGGGAACGATTTGAGATTAAAAGAGGGATGGAAAAGTTGGAGATTTCTTTTAAATATCACAAGCATGATAACCGAGAGATCAAACTGTAAAAAATCCAGTTGCAAAATCTTATTCAGTTCCTACAAATGCCAAAACTCCAGATTTTATACAAACACGGACACTTCAACAAAACTGAGAGACGCAAAATAGTCTTAACAAACTAATGGAGTGCTCCATGATTGGATGCATCATGAGATGAACATTAACAAGATTCATAAAGATTATTATTGCTTGCCTTTGGGGATCATCCAAATCAAGTTGTCGGGTTAAGAGCAAGCTCGATTTCTTCCAAGGAACGCCCCTTCGTTTCCACAACATTACTGGCTATGTACAAGACAGCAAGAAGACAGACACCAGCAAATCCCAAATACACTGAGCTGATCCCAAACTTGTTCACAACACTCAAGAAATACAAGCCAATGACAAAGTTTGAGATCTGTTACAACACAAACATAAGTCAGAGATGAAACCAATAGATACCGAGTTGATAGAAGAATGTTACCAGGAAACATTTTCAGATCATGTTCTTTTCAAGAAGATACATGCAACAGAGAGGCAGATTAAGAACCATTGGAACAGTACTATTTCTACATCCTATCAAAGTATATACAGGTGAATTCGCTCAGAGGGATATACATGCACGCATACATATCAACATCTTTGGGCAGATTCTTTATCATGACTTACCCAATGCATGCCAAGTGATAAAGCTACTGCTTTTGCTCTGATTCTGGAAGCAAATATTTCGGGCAGAAGAAGAGCAGGCACAGGACCAGCACCAAGTGAAAACGATAAGACATAGCTGCATAAAAGAAATGGAAGCTACGTTTCAGATCTCACCGGCCAACAGGAGGTGACAACAATTGCAGGCATCAGAATAAGGAGAAGCTTTGAGGGGCTTCATTAATTGTATAAAGGAGTGTTAACTCACAGAACAGTCCCAATGACGGCTAATGTGCCAGAATAGGGAGCCAGGACTTTCCAAGTGAATGACAAAGAAAGCAGCAACATTGAAGCAGCCTTCATGAGTGAAAAGAAAACAGATAAGGAAAAAAGAAAACATTTATTAGTTATACGAGAATCTGATGAGAAAATTGGACATCGTATCATGCTGTAATAAATATTAACAAAGGACAGAACATACAGTGACTGAAGAACCGGGTCTAACAAAGTTTTCAGGGAATCATATTCAACTAATGTTCCCATCATTTTTTAAAATTTCGGGCCATCCATCTTGAAAGAATAACATCAATAATAACAACACTGAAATACCAGATTCCATGCATAGTGCCTATTCAACCATTGAAGGTAAATTGAACTGCTATTCTGGTATCCTAGCTTATTGAAACCTTTGTTTCAGTCAGAGCATGGCTATTTTGAATATCTTGTGAAAAGTTTCATCCATTCAAGCATCCATGAAATCAAAGGAAAAATATAGGGTGCAGATGAAATGAAGATTAAGGGAGTTGTTTTACATGCAAGCAAATGTTGATTGCTTTATAGCTTCCATAAACTACTCATTTAGTGAAACCACCTAAGAGCTTAATCTGAGATGCTGTAGCAAATGACTTGCAAGCCAGTAAAAGAAAAATGTTCTCCAATAAGAAAATGCAAGTAATATTGGATGCCATATATAAACAAGCATGATTTTATCATGAATGAGCTATGGTTTTGAAACTATAGAGATATTAGGAATATGAACAGAGCATTTCAACAATTCAATCCTTCAATACAATTTAATTGAAAAAAGAAAGTAACTCAATAGAGGAACTTGACCGAGAGATATCTTTCAGATAAATTAGAATGAGCATAGCTAGAGTTTCCAATCAATACCCAGCTAGAGTTTTGCATGCCAGAAAATTTTTGTATATTCTATAATCTCTAGTCAAACTTTGAGATCAAGTCTTTGCATCAAGGTAAGATCACTTGCAGTTTAAGAAACTTTGATTATAATATAGAAAAAAAAAAGGAAAAGTAAGAAATTTTATGTGGTGATAAGAGATGCTTGTTTATGTATCTTAAGGCCCAAAATGCAAACGCTGGAGCTGGTTTCAATGAGTTTAACAATAGAATCCACACTCTTTGATTTGGAAGAATGAACTGCTACACAGATTGTTAAGCCTACCATTCCAGCAAAGCTTGTGATTAGAAGACTTTTCCTTCCTTGTCTGTCCATCAAAGAGGATGCAATAGCTGTGCCTGCAAGAATATCATAAGCCAGGAATATTAAATATCCTATGTGAATTTTGGATTTTCTTCCCCAAGAATTTATGCCTGAAAAATAATTAAATACTAACCAAAGACATTTGATGCACCAACAAGAGCACTTGCGGCAACATCAGAAGCAATTCCAGCACTACGAAACACAGCAGTTGAATAATATACCACGGCATTTATCCCACCTAACTGTTGGAATAAGAAAAGTGCAGCACCAACACTCACAACTGCAGCAGGACATAAAGTCAAGAAAGGCAATTACCATGACACAGTAGAAAGCATTAGAAACTTGAAGGTATAGTTCTCAGAATAATTAGTTCAAGTATGTGAGTAGTGATTCAATAACCAGAATTAGAAGTAAGAAGATATGAAGTACAAAAGGAACTATATTACATCCTCAACCTTTGAGTTAATCATTAAAGTATCAAAACAAAAATAAGGTAGTGCAAGGAAAGTGGTGATCAATGGTTAAACAAAACCTAAGCACTAGATCTTGTCTATATTTGGTAATCAAGAAACACTAGATCGACTGGTGCTATAACAACTCTTCAAAACAAAAAGAGCATGCTAGATGAAAATATGTTTCGAGAAAATTGGACTTTCAAGTTCAACTTTACATGGCACAATAGTTTTAAAAGCAATGCAACATATTTATGAATCTTTTACATTACCATCTGATCCTTCTTAACAGCATGTAGGGATGGCATCGGGTCGGGTTCGGGCGGGTTTTGCTCGCCCCGAACCCGACCCGACCCGACACTATGTAAACCGAACCCGACTCAACCCGATCCTAAATTAATAAAATATTATTTTTTAAAATATAAAATATTATTTTTTAAATATAAATATTTAAAAATATCATTATATAAATAAATAAATATATATAAATAATTAATTAATTAAAAAAAATTTTATATAATGTCGGGTCGGGTTTTATGCATACCCGACCCTGATTATTCCCTAACTATACCCGACCCGACCCGACCCAAAAACCGAAATTCAAAAAAAAAAAAAACCCGACCCTATAGGGTTGGGTCGGGCCGGAACCCGTCGGGGACGGGGTCGTTTGCCGTCCCTAACAGCATGCAGTAGCATCTCTAATAAAGGTATGCTTTTCAATGGGACTTATAGATCTATTAAAATCCGTGTAGCCTTCATAATTCAGGTATACCTTTCCAGTAACGGCTGCTAAATAGGTCAAACCATCCTGCTTCTTGTTCTGTAGAACCCTGACCTGCAGTTCTTAACTCGTACATGACCTCAGCAACTCTTTCCTTTCCATATAGTGTTCTTATAGATTTTTCAGCTTCAGGAATTTTCCCTTGCTGCAAAATTGATGTATTTAATAAATAAGTAATCAATATTATGCATATCCGTGTGAGATGTACATAAATGTAAAATAGAAAGACTCAGTAGTCCAAGAAGAAACCTGAAACAGCCACCGAGGACTTTCTGGGGAAAATGCCATACCTAGCGCCAATAAAATAGAAGGGACAGCAGCAACACCAAACATTGTCCTCCACCTAATAGAAAAAATATACATAAGATACAAATAGTTAGGGTAAAGGCTTAAGTAGACACAACAATTTATTTGCAAAAGAAATCCAATTCTTAACTACATTTTGGCACGTCATATACAACATTAATATTTATAGTGATCAAGACATATTCACTCGGTCTGACTAAGACAAAAAAGATCCAAAACAAAAGATTAATAAAAAAAAAAGCAACCAAAAATTAGAGATTTCAACTAGTCAGTGGAGCTTTTTTTTAAAACTTACTTGGTACTTTTTTTTTGGGGGGGAGGGGGATTTTAACCCAACTCCTTGAACAGGGGGATAAATGCACCTATGATTGAGACATTTGCTCAGGTGAACAGGGAGCAAAGTTACAATGATTGTATGGTATAATAAGAGGATGATGGACAACAAAGAAGCCTAATCCCACACTATTGACTAAATGAATCATATTACACCATTGTGCTTTTTCTAAAAACATTTCCAGGATATGATAAGTAAAAACAAGGTCACTTTTAATCCTTTTCACCCATGTCTTATTGGCCTAGCCCTTGCTCTTTTGCCAGCAAAATAAGGAAGGGAAAAAAAAAGAAATTAAAAGCAATGCAGAAAAGGGATTAAATTAGCCATAATATTCCGTGAACAGGTGCCAAATGAAAGGAAGAAAGGTCTTAGAGACTGGTGAGGGAAAACTTTACTACCGAATATAGCTACCAAAAATAGAAACAATTATCCTTTTATACAAAATTGAAGCCCAGATTTTAGAAACTTCTAACTAAAATTCTTACAAAAGTTAGAAGGGCACAATTTCTTTAGATGCATGATTGATTGCATGCTCAGTAGTTTCCAGAAAAATGTTATATCTCAATTTAACATAGCAAATGAAGCATGTTACAAAGTGTAAAACTGCTAGGATAATATACCATAGTGGGTTGCCCGCTAAAGGTAATCCAGCTACCAATGCCGCTAGAATCCCAATACATATAAAAAGTTGGTTTACAGATCCAAGTGCACCACGGATTTCAGTTGGTGAGATCTGAAAAATAGAAAAAGAATGTCAGCAGATGTACCCAAAAACTAGGCAACCAAAGCAAATAATGAAGATCAGAAAATATAACCTCAGATATGTAAAGTGGAACAATAGCAGACGATATACCAATACCAATACCGGCCAGTAAGCGGCCAATTATCATAGTCTGGACAGTCTGGGCTGTAGCACTGAAAACATTTAAGGGATTTGAAGCATTAGTTTTCAGCAATCTTATGATGATTGACAAGATAATAGTTAATGAAATGATACTAACGTGAGAACTGCTCCAATGATAAGTGGGATAGCATCTAATTGAAAAGTCTTTGTCCTGCCAAACTTGTCTGCCAGTGCTCCCCCGGTAAATGAACCAACAGTGGCACCAGCAAGGAGTGTGCTGACAACCCATCCTACTCAAATTGGCATAACAGAATAATAAGTTAACTATTCATTAGAAAAGTTGGATAATTTAAAGATTAAGAAAATAGGTGGTAAACCAAAGTAACCAAAAATGAAGAAAAGAGAAAGGGAAAACATAAACCCAACAATTTCTAACATTGCTTGAATAAGTACAAGTAAAGTCACTTCACTTTTATACGTGAAACAACACAACAAAGATGGACTGCATGACGCAGTGGAATGGCCTCTATTTCACTTAAATTTCACTAAATAATCTTCAAGCAATAAAGTGCCATGAGACTTTGATTTATCAGGCACCAGAACACACATGCAAAATATTTTGGAAACAAACAACAAAGAAAAGAAAAGGAAAGGAAAGGAAAAAGAAACAAAAGCAGAGTTTGAATTTGCTTTGTAATTCACAATTCATGCCTTGCAGGACAGTATTCTCAGCAATTCCCAGATCCTTAGATAGATACTCAAGTGCGCCATTTACTACCCTGAAGAAAAAAAAGAAATGATCCAAATGGAGGGTGAGGAGGGTGAAATTAGACAAGTATATCATTATCAAAAGCCCTGCACAAAACCACAAACAAATAATAAGCATAAAAAATGTAGCTTGCCAACTGCCAAGATATTGATTATGAGTTCTTTGCCTAAACAGTTTCTTTTTTTTCTTTTTTCTAGAATGTAACCATAGTGTTGAGTCAACTCCAGTGTTTAAATATTTCCAAAATACTGGAAATATTCACCAGCATCCCTTGTTGCAAGCACCTATACCTTTTAGGACCCACATAAATGACCTATAGTGATCCTCTCTGATGCTTTCATATTATTGGAGAGCATGCTTAACTGTATCTACACGACAGATTGCCTAAGTATATCATTGAGATGATAAAATCACTAAATTGACAACTGTAGAACCAAAAACCAAAAGGAAGTTCCTTGAGAGTGAATCAAGACATACCCTAGATGGTAACCAAATAATATAGCTCCCAAGCAAGCAACACCGACAAATGGCAGAACAGTCCCAGAAGATTTCCCCTGAGGGTTGATTGGTGTCAAATCCTCAGCATCTCCACCTGTAGTTTAATTCGAATTGCAAGATGTAAGAATATAGAAAAGCAGGTTAGAAAGACTAACTTACTTCTTTTGCAATGATTACACGACTCAGAAACTTAGCAAATCAGCTATGCACAGGCCAGAACGTTTATTTCTTTTTGGTACAACGGAGCACAGGCTGGGGATAGGGAGAGGGATTGAAGGTGCTGGGATTTGAACCCTAAAGCCTGCTAGATGCCAACTTTTAAGGTAGCCGCATAAACCTATTGATCTAAGCTCCTAGTTCCACAGGCCAATCCATTTAAATAACAAGAATGCGCTCTTCCAATAAACTGAAACACTAATACGTCAGTTAATCACATCATGTAGGAAGCATATGACTAGCATACATCCATCATTACTAACACAACCATGCACAAGTTAATAGATTTTAGTGGAAATAATGTATTGTTCACATTAAACTAACACAAAAACAAATCAGTTCATCATATCTGAAAGAAATGAGAGAGAGAGAGTGAGAGAGACCAGAAGCTTGAGCCTTGACCGATCGAGATTTGACCGAAGAGCGAACGACAGTTTGAATAACATTCCTGGCACGTGCAAGCTCAGCTCCCATTGAAACGGCACCGGAGCTTAAGCCGCTGCAAATGGAACCACTTTGGATGCAAAGATTTCGATTCAAAGATAAATTCCGTTCCCTAACTTCACCAAAACAAGGTAAAACTCTACGTTTTGAAAGTTCAAAGCCTAAATTTCCTCTGATTAAATGCGTTGACGCCTGCATTCTGAATTACCTGATTCGCCGTAAATTAAAAAAAAAAAAAAAGTAAATTTAACGGACAAGTTAAAGCAGTCAAAAAGGAAAAAAAAAAAAAAAGAGCATTAATATCCATATTTAAAGATCAAAACGCAACCGTTTTCTGAAAAAACGGAATGACTGAGAAGTGAGAGTGAGATTTACCGAATCAAAGGGGGAGTGGAGAGAGACAGAGGGAGAGAGGATGAGCCAGTTTTTGGGTTCTGTTTGGATGGTGAGATTTTACTTTGTAGAAGAATTTTGATGGAAAGCTTCGGAAAATCCGTCGATCGAGAGAGAGAGAGAGAGAGAGAGAGAAAGGGAGTAACTGTTTGCTTTCTAGGAGCTTACCAAGAAGAACCAAGTTGGTGGAGAATTCAATTATTCTCTTTCTTTCTTTTCAAAATTGAAATTAATTAATTAAATTTTAAATTATACTGCCAGTAAATTCGTCGAGAATCGAAGAATCGATGGTGTAAAAAATTTTAAAAATGGCGATGGGGTGTTGTTTTGTTCACTATGTGTTTGTGTTTGGGTGGATTTATGATTTAGGGAGGGTAGGATTTTGGGTTAGATTTGTAGTTGCGTTGGCGTTACGTCGTGGGCTCACGTGAGGGCAGCTTGGACGACACCTATCGTGCCTGTTCAGTGTAGAGTGTCAGCGTAATATTATACATGAAACTGCAATGTAAGTGATATGATACCCGAAATAATTTTATTTATTATATATTATTATTTTTTAAATTATATTAAAATTAAAAAATATATAAAATTTTATCTTTAATTAATTTATTATAAAAATAATTTAAAAAAAAACTGAAAGAAATGATATGTTTTTACTAAGATTATTATACACTTAAAATTTATATCAAATAAAAATATATTATATATGTTTTTTCAAATAACAAATATATATATACTATCGAATGATGAATTAAATAATAAAAAAATTATAGGCATACTTTTAATTTTGTAATTTTGTTTAAATTATTATACAAAATATAAAAAATATTAAGAGATGTGTGAAAAAAAATAAATTGATAAAAAATTTTAATTTTCATAAAATAAACTTATAATAATAATAAAATATACCTCGAAAAAGAAAGATGTAAATAGAAAAAAAGAAATAATAATAAATTTTTAAAAAAGTGCAAATTAAAAAATAAAATAATATAATACATGATATTTATAATTTTTAATTTGTGAAATAACTCTCGGATGACATTTAAGATTGGACAAATAATTTTCAAGTTGATATATAAAAAAAAATTAGAAGGATATAATAAGTGACAAAAATTAAATTAAATTAAATTAAATTTCTTGCTTATTTTTAAATATAAAATTAATAGTTAAAGTTGAGATAAATATAAGTCATATTATTTAAAGATTTAATATGAAAATTTTATTTAAATTTTTAATATTGTACATAAATTTTTATGAAAATAATTTTTGTTTGATACAAATTAAGATAAAAAATATAGTAAAATTTTGAAAGATTGTATAAATTTAATCTTCATAGCTTTAAAACATGATAAAATATTTTTATAATTAATAATTTATAAAAAAGGTTATTTGGTAAAAATTAAAATTATTTAGATAAAATTCATATTCCAAAATTTTTAATTTTAAAAAAATATTTCTACATCAATTTGATTTACAATTATAATTTGAATAATTTTTATGTTTGACTAAATTTAAGATTATTTAATTTATAATTAAAAAAATTATATTCTTTAAAAATAACTATCGTGCATGTTATTTAAAAAAATTATCGATATAAACATTCATATTTCAAATTTTATCAAGTGTGTGTATATATATATATATATGTTATTATATAATAATATATATGATTATTTGATATAACAAATAAAATTAAAATTTTGATATATATTTTATTTTTTAATTAATTTTTTTATGTTTTTAATATATCCTAATTCTCTAAAAGTATATATTATTTTAAAAGTAGTATATTTTTTATAATTTCTAATCAATAATTTTTTTCTTTAAGTTTAAATAAAAAAATTGATCAGGGTAAAAATGAATTTATCACACAATGTTTAAAAAATGTTGAGTTTGCTCAGTTAAATTTTTCCTCTAACATCGATAGCATCATTTTACTGCAAGTCATGTAACTTTTTTCAATCTTTTTTTTTTCTCGCCTTTTTTTTTTATGAATAACCCTTTAATTTTGAAATTTGTTTATCTTCGAAATTACGATTTACTAAGACATGTTAAGAGAAAGAAAAACAAAATGGCATGAAAATCTTTAAGGGTAAAAAAAAAAAAAAAAAAACCAAACATTTTAACAATGCGATTTGCACCAAAAAAAAAAAAAAAAGAGAAATCACGCCGAAACGAAGGTCCGGAGACTTCCAAATGAGGTATTAGAGGAACGCAAAGTTGATAAAGTCTTCATTGTCCCGGTGAGCCCTGTCTATTATTGGGACAAGCAAGAGCTTCGGCAATCATAGAGGAAAAAGTACAAGTTGAAATGTGAATCAAGTTTTTTCAGCAATTCTAGCATAAGATCAAACCTTTTAACAAAAAATAAAGCATAGCTCTTGCAAACCCAGTTCAAGAAAATAAGAGAAAAATGAATCGCAACTCGATACAAACACAATTTTGATCCTTGTACTGAGCATTTCTTTTGGAATTCCATCAATAAATCTAAGTAATAATGACAACAGTTCGAATAGCCACAACTTTTGAGATATCTGTATTCAAATTTGATTATTTTTCATGCTATTCAAATCTAATAAATATTTGGATAATATTTAAATTTGCAATCTGATATCCCAATCATTTTAGCATTACCTATTTACTTTCCTAACCCATTTAAATACTTGAAAAATTATTCATGATCTTCTTCAATTTTTCAAGTTGAATCCACACTTGAACATGATCCTACAAATTAAGAAAATAATAATAGAATTTATTTTCAAAAAACAAGTGAATAAAAAATGAAATAATTTTATAATTTTCTTTTGTTCTTGCAAAAACTCATGTGATTTGTCATAGCTCTTGTCACATTCCTCATATCGGAACTTTTATGCAATAATTACATATTATCACATTTCTTTCATTCACAGTTATCTTTTCAAACTGTCGCCAAACCTTTGTGATTAACTTTCGTGAACTTTTTTCCTTGCTTCTGTTCATGGAAGTTTAGATGAAGTGAGCATGGTTGGGCTTAACTTGTTGGGGGTGGGTGCAAGCGTGAATGTTGAGTTAAGGCTGTCGGCGTCCGGGAAAGGGAGGCTGAATGCAGGTTAGGTGTCGAGCGTCACGGTGTTGGGAGGAAAAAAAGGAGATGGCTGACGGCTAAGGCCGAAGCAAGGTTGGCTATTGATAGGAGAAATGGAGAACTAGAAAATGAAGAATAAGTTTTTTATGGTTAGGGTAATATAATACATTATACTAGGTAGCATCCTGAGCATTGCGAAGATTTTTGTTTCTTTGTTTCTTCCATATTATAAAAATCATGATTTTTGTCATCGTCTAAATTAAATGATTGAAACTTAAAACAGTTTATATAAATATCTATATGTAGTATCAAATAGTTCAGAGAAATTTGTCACATGACAATATGTAAAATTGTAAATAGCATTAAATAAATGTTCCTTTCCAAAAATTAAATTTGTAATCTTCCTTCATGGCTATTTTATTCTTCTTATGGTTTTGGATTCAAGGAAAACCAATAATAAGCAAAGAGTTGGTTTGCCAATTCAATATACCATGAAAGTGTTTTGTGAGTATTATGTGTTAAAGTAAGTATAGGTAATAGGTTAAAATATGTTAGAGGTCCTTGTATTTTATGAAAATTGAGAATTTAGTTTTTGTACTACAATTCATACAAATTTAATTTTCATATTATTTTTATTTAATAATTTTAGTTCAATCATCAATTTCATTAATTTTTTTGCAATTAAAAATGTTGATGTGATTGTTAATTTTATTGACGTGACGTTAACTTTGCTAATATGACATTGATTTATTGATGTGACAATTAAATCGATAAAATCAATTATTAAATTTGCATAACTTTTATGCTCATACAAAATTCAAAATTTAATCCCTATATTTGCTCAAAATTTGAAATTTAATCTATGTACTCACAAAATTTGAAATTTAATCTTTCTAATACAAAAAATATTTCAAATTTTTAGAAATTTTTTAGTTTTTTTAAATATTAAATTTTAAAAATTGCCACAATACTCTCTTATAATATTCTATCATAATAATGAAAAATCTATTACAATATTCTATCATAAATTTCATATATTGTCGTTAAATCTATCATAATATTTTGTCACCCATATAAAATACTGTTATTAATTCTGTCACTATTTCATATTACATTCATTCATAAAATATAAATCTGTTATTGATTTTGTTACACTTTTATGTCAGGATTATAATATATTATGGTCATATGAAAAAAAATCTTATATCAATCTATTAAAAATCTATAATAAATTTATCAATATATGATATAAATCTGTCACAATTTTAAGAAACTATTATTTTTATTAAGTTATTAAATAAATTATAATTATATCTCATAAATGTAAAATTATCCATCAAATAGTATTTCTATTTCATTAAATTAAATCCTATTTAAATGATTTTTATAATCAAGTCTATGTTAAAGATTCTAAATAAACCAAAGTAATTTACTAAGCTTAATGTGTATTGATTTTAAAATTAATCATATTATTTAATTTAACATAATCATTTTTTTTTGTGAAGACCTAACAAATTGAAAATTCTAATTGTGATGCACAATATTAATGTTTTAGTTTATCAAATAAATCATTTTTTTCTTTCATTTTGTTAGGATTTAAAGTTTATCTTTCAAATAAATAGGAGTTTGTCATTCGTAAGAATTTAGGTTTGAATCTTTTATTTTGTTTGGTTGGATGAAATGATCATTTTTATGGCCTATTTCAGATTCATTACAATACCAAAAAATAGGCTTTGTCAACAAAATTTTTCATTGATAAAAGCTTAAACTTTATCAGTAATGGGTTTTTTTCCATCAGTAATAATAAAATTTCATTAATAATAAAAAAATTCATAGTAAAACAATCGGTAGTAATACTTTAAATAATATATAACTATTATTTTATAATTTTTTATAATTTTATTATAATTTTAAATTTATTTTTAAAGTAATTATATGAATACTAATATATATATAAATAAAAGAAATAAATAAATAAAACTTTCCATTTCATTTATAAAAAAATATAATAATATTTTACAAAATTATTTATAAATTTTAATTACAAAAATATAAAGAACAAAAGACATATTCTATTTACAATTTATACCACAATGTTGAAAGTGGAATGAAATTTTTACAACATTATAACAAAACACAATCTGTCAAGCATTATTCTATGCATTTCATAAAGAATTTTTGTCTTAAATGTTCAAAAAATGAAAAGAAATAAAAATAAAATACAATCAAGACATAACCTAATATACCTCTTTCATTTGATGAAAAACATGGATTCTATCTTTATCACCTCTAC